ACGGGGTGGCGGTGTGATCCTTTACTATAATGCAAACCTCCGATGTGCAGTTATCGATCATCCGGAAATCCGAGCTCCTGACTCGCTTTTATGCCGCCCATGGGTGCGAAACAAGGACACATGTCTACTAGCCGTGACTTACCGTCCACCAAACTCCATGTCGGAAATGGACTCCAAACTGAACCATATCTTTCATTTTCGTTTGAGTAAGTCCCACACACACAATCTTATCGTTGGAGACTTTAACGTGCACGTTATGGAAACGCCAGCAACCGACGGTACGCAGTTTAAAGCCTGATTGCAAGAGCTAATTGCTAATACCCTCTGTACAATGACGTAACCTCTACCACCAGATTTCCAACTGATAACAAGCCGTCGATACTGGATCTTGTGCTCACTAACGAAGAACTCATTGTTGACGTGATAGTTACAAGCACATCTTGGGTCGTAGTGATCATATTACTCTACTCTTTGACTATATATATTATGCGAAGTATCCTGAAAAGGAGGACGATAAAGTACATACTGTCACGCACTACAATGTGCTATCTACGCTTGTTAAGGATCCGTCTTGGACTTTCTTAACCGAATTCCCCCAGCTGTTGCCTGGGAAACCTTTACAAGAACGTTTAGCACACTGGTAGCGCACGCATCGGAAAAGAAGTCCTTCCAACTCGAAAACAAGCATAAGTCATTTCTGAGGAGCAGAACACGTAAATGTATATCCCGGAGGGATTTTGCATGGTGAGATCACAAGGACTGCTCGAATGCCGAAATCTGGGCTTCATACGTGACACATCGTAACTTCTGTGTGAAATTGATCAATGAAGACAAGGTCACGAAGTAGCAGGAGATAATGAAGCGATTCCGCACGAACCGCAAACTTGCTGTACAGGCACGTTAACGGCCTTCGAAAGGTGAAGCGGGGGATTCCAACACTAGTCACGGCTGTTGGGTGCACGCGATCAGCAATGGAAGCAGTTGATCTCCTACGTTTTCATTACTCCCAAACTTTCCAGCAGTTAACGAGCCTAAATATTATCCTCATTTCTATTACCCCACCATCGGGTTTAGACAACATCACTTTCATTTCGAAGCTGGGTTGAAGAAGTTGTTTTCCTTGCGTATCCACAGTTCTCCTGGAGTGGACAACATCCGACCAGAGGTTATGCAGGCAGTAGCTAGTCATCCAGGAGAACCGTTGGCTCTTTTCTATCAACGATGTCTAGAGGGGAACCATATCCCACCAATATGGAAGCCAGGGGCCATCACTCCTATCCATAAAGGGGGCAGCCGCACTGACCCTGCCGACTACCGTCCAATAACACTGCTTCTTGTACTATCCAAAGTGATGGAATCAATCATCGTAGACACGTTGATGCAGTATCTAGAAAGCCACAACTTAATAGCCCCAGAGCAACATGACTTTCATCAAAAGCATTCGTGTAATACTAACCTATTAATTGCAAGTAACAGCTGGACTGAAGCTGTTGAAGATGGAACAGGAATGGATGTCGTCTATCGGGACTTCTCAAAAGCGTTTGATCGCTTGGACCATCGACTTCTCCTTCAGAAGCTTCGGAACCACGGCATTGGCGACCTAATCCTGAGTTGGATTAGCAATTTTCTACACGAACGACAGCTAGTGGTGAGAGTACGAGAATCATTGTCCGATGCAATCCGTGTGGTGTGTGGTGTATCACAGGGCTCGGTGCTTGGAACTCGTCTATTCTTTATGTTCATTAATGTTTTGTCGAGGTCAATTGCTTCCGATATCCTATTTTCGCCGATGATATAAAGATATGGCGAAGGATCAGAGGACCAGACCATTACGAACGGCTGCAGTGCGATCTTAACACTGTGTCGAACTGGTCAGTTTAAAACACCCTGCCATTCAACGTAGACAAATGTCGCGTTGTACAATTACGCCATAGACATAACTACACCTATTTGTTTGGGACAAACGGATTTCAGAATTGCTCCTAGGAAAGTGACCTTGGTGTGATCACACAGAGCGATCTCAACTGTTCAGAACAGGCTGAGGTAGCTGCGAAAAGAGGCAACCAGCAAGTCGGCATGCTGCGAATGGCATTCGGGAGAATTGACCCATCAATGTTCCCAATGATGCACAATTCCTACCTGCGTCCGCATGTTGAATACGCTATCCAAGCTTGTCAACCTTGGTTGAAGCGCGACCTAGAGGCATTAGAGGCACCACAACGAAGAGAAACAAAGAATGCAAATGACATGCGCAATCACTCTTATCACCGAAGGCTGAAGTTGCTGGGAATTTTCAGCGGACGCTATCGAAGGCTGCGCGGCGATCTCATATTAGAGTATCAGATATTGGGTGACCACAATCACGTATGCCGCAATTTGGTGCAAATTAGCCACAACACGCAGCTCAGGGGTAACTGTTTAAAATTGAAGGAACAGTGTAGTCGTCTAGAGTGTCGATGTAATTACTTTTCCCCTCGGGTTTGCTAATCCTGGAAAACACCCCCAGACTCAGTTGTATCCTCCCGTACCTTGGACATTTTCAAAAACGATTAGATGTTGCTCTTAGGTCCCAGAATTTCATTACCTAAACTCCTCTATTGTGGATTACGCCAAGCATGCCTTTCTACAGGATGTATGTACCAAATGGGATCAATTGAGCAACCATACTTTACTTTTCTCAAGCCTTATATCAACGATCACTGCACCCTAGTGTATTTCTGAACGTTTACGCTCGGTATTTTTAATTTTACACTGATGTAGTTTATCAAAGCATTCATCTCGGCAGACGTTCGGTAGATGACCCAGATATATTTTGATTTCATCATATTCACCCCAAGTACCCTACGGGACGTGTCAAGCACTTGCTTTTATCCCGTGATAACTCATTGTTCATTGATCTACATAATTTAGGTCACCGGTTTTTACACAGGTGGTATCCCATACGCGAATACCGTATAATGGGTTGTGCGCTAAAGCTGAACAGCGTGACGCCTTGACGAACGCCGCATTTTTGTCAGAAAAGATTCGGGCGTCCTCTTTGAATCATGATAGGGCCCATCATCATCATTATACACCTTATCTGCAGGTGGAAAACACAGAGGTTGTGCCGAAATGTAACAGACAAGAAGAGAAAACGACAGCTTTACTTCGGCTGTGTTTCCAGTAACGGATGGACATCGTTCCGGACAGTTAGCGACAGGCTGTCGTGTTGCAAAAAGGGTTATGTTGTACCTAATGAATGAGATCGTGATTGCAGGGTGAGGCTAAACAGGAGGGGGATGGATAAAGGAACTCAAAACACAAACGCCATTGGGGCCGCCTCCTAGCCATATCAGCAAGTGTGTCCAACCAAACATGTTCATCGTCCTTAGGACCCCAGCCAGGCAGTCGGAATGCACCAACCGACGGCAACTTCGAAGTGAGGGTTTTCATTTCTCTCGACCAAGTCATGGCTTGGTCTCCCCTCCTTCTCTTCCAACCGTGCTTCCAGCGCGCAAACAATGTACGTCGGTGTGCTGGCATGCGCAACACGCGGCCCAGCCATCGGAGCCTGGTACGTTATATTATGGTGCTGAGCGATTCACTCGCTCTTCCTGCACCAAATACGCGACGCCGAACACGCTCATTGCTCACGCGGTGCTCCCACCAGACATTAGCTAAGCTGCGAAGACAGCGATGATCGATGTGACGAGCCTCTATATCTGTCGACCTGATGGGCCAGGTTTCACAACCATATAGGAGAGTTGAACGGACGGCTGCGTTATAAACTCTGCTCTTCAGAGCGAGAGTAATGTCGCGTCTGCTCCACAGGTGGCGGAGATTGGCAAAAGCACCTCAAGCTTTGGCTATACGCTTCGTAACCTCGTCTTCGATCCCACGGGCGATAATATCGCTGCCCAATTACTTGAATCCCTGAACGACTTCCAGCTGATCACCACAAAGCGTTAGCGCAGTGTTGGGTTCTTGCCAACTTTGGAGAGGAACTTTGCATTTCTATGGAGCAAAGCATAGGCCTAAAAGATTAACAACCAGTGCTAATCAATCCAATGCAGCCTGGCACGTTTTGGGCGCTGTCACAGATGAGGGCAACATCGTCCGCATCCTCAAAGTCAAGAAGTCGCTCAGTAGGAAATAGCTCCACACCTTCTAGGTCGTGTCCAGCGAAAGCTGTTTTCATGACACTATCAATGCGAAGTTAAAGAGGAATGGTAACAGCGGATAACATTGTCTCACACCGCTGGAGATATTGAAGGGCGGCGACAGTTTGGCAAAGACCCTCGCTTTGACCGAACTATGCGCGTACAGCGCTTTGAGAATGTGTACATATTTATCAGACACACCTTTTCTGAGTAGACAGTCCCAAAGGGCACATCGATTAACAGAATCTAAGACACATTTGATGTTGAGGAACAGGACTACGGTGGGTCGACAATATGTGTGACGGTGCTTCAACAATTGACGCAAAGTGAAGATGTGGTCGCTGTAGCCACGGCCCGGCTGAATCCCGGCTTACTCTTTGAGGATCTGGCCTTCACGAGCGTCAGTCAATCTGTGTCGAACGACAGAGGCAAGCAATTTAGAGGCAAATGAGATCAGATTGATCCTCCTATAATTCAGGCTTCAATGTTTACTCGCTTTCCTGATACTTTCGTAGCTCTACCACTGAGTTAGTCGGAGCCAACGATAACAGTTGTAGGATGCATGCTCAATGGCCAAGCAGCCGATGGCAAGAGTAATCAAGTGTAACAGACAGGGGAGCAGAAGTAGTAAACATAGCACAAAAATGGGAATCGGCAGAAGTGCACCCATTTATCTTATATTTAGAAAAGCCTCTACAAAAATGTCAACTAAGGGAAATCCGAAATTGGATTAATAAGCGGTTGCTTACATACAATATATATGTGCTATATCATACATGCTATATCTTCAAAAGTAGCTTAACACTAGGGCGCCTGAATTGTTTATCCGGATACTTGTTCCTGTCGCGGTTTCCATTTTAGAATGACAAACGGCTTTGTAAACTGAGGTCGCAGAAGATCCAAGCGAATCTGGAACAGATACAAACGCAGCTTAACACAGCACAACTCTCATTGACAAACAGTAAGCTCGCATTGAAGACACAAGAGACAGAATGGAGAGAACTGTTGGTGGAGTGCAATTTGAACAGACATCAGGCAAGTATGAAGAGTCCACTGAATTAGCAATCATGACGCATGCGTTGAGAAGAACTATCCACTCTCAGTTGCACGTTGCGTGTGCGTTTGTGTGTTTGGATGGAATGAGTCGAGGGCACTAGGTCTTTTAGATCGGATGATAATTGGTTATTCGGAGTTCCGGAAACCACTAAGACACTTTGCAACAAAAAGAGGAGGCAACTGATGGTCACCGAGGACATCAATCAGGAAAGACGGGCCAATGTCGCAGCAGGATGCGTGGTTGCGTAACAATTCTTTGTTTTCAAACCTATCAGGTTTCAGCTTAACACCTACTTGGTAAGACGCAAACTACTGCCTGCTGCGAACCAAATGCCAAATATGGCACTGTGAGCTCCTTTCATAATACCGTTCCATGGGTATGTAGGTCAATGCACCGGTCTTTGGTCCAGCGTACTTCTGGTCTTTCTTCCAGTGGAACTGGTTGTACAGCTGATGACTAAATGACACAAAATAAGGGATTTAACCTGGATCAGAAATGCAGTTTTGTTGTCGTTTGTGATAAGCTGAGGAGCTGTGATGAAACGCGATTCTAACCAATGGAAAACGATCGATGACCGATGTTAAGAACTCAAAAATGAGAATTGTGAATAGAAATATCTTTTGAGGTAAGATCGCTTCCAAATAAAGCTCAACGTGGAGAATTAACTCAATCATTTATGGTTTTAAACACAATAAATGCTAGTAACGTTTGGCTTGAAGGAAAGATAACGTTAAGATACTGGCTACTTCCACTCACCGGATATTTCTACCACGTGTGATCCTACCATCAAATGACAGCGGCGGAAGCAAAAGCGTGTTTTTAAAGAAATTGGTCAATGGTCTAAGTGGAGTGAAAGGTAAAACTCACATCGTCGTTACCTACTGAACTGCGATTTTTGGACCTAAGGAATGTGTGCATAATTGGCCGTAGCGATGACTAATCCATCTCTTTCAACCTAATGTCTACATTCATGAGGAATACAGCGCAGCAGGAAAAACTTTTCGATAGCTCACATTATGCGATTATATATATATATATATATATATATATATATATATATATATATATATATATATATATATATATATATATATATATATAACTCACTGTCGACATACGGCCAAAGCAGAGGGAGCACGTACACCAGCACCGTCTTCTTAGTTCGGGTTGCATTACCCTGAACACATTGACCTCGCCTATCACCAGTTTTCGTTTTGGTAATGTGGAAAAATGTGAAAGCCTCCCTGGTCAAGGCTTGATGTCCACTTTGAACTGTGCTGTCAAATGGAGCTGTCGATTCTTGTGTCCCTGAACATCGCTGCTAAGCGATGTTATTATATCCGTTTCCCCTATGTCTAATGATGTTTCCATAAGTGTCTTACACCATGGGTGAAAGTAAATTGAGGATGGATAAATGGTTCGCACTGGGCCGGGCGTATATCCATGAGACGCAGGATAATAAATGGGGTAGTTTTGGCCACAACATAAGGTTAGGCAGCTAAGAACGATTCATTTCACTGCATTAGAGAGTCTCATAGTCAGTAATTCAAAGGAGGCATCCATTTTGAAAGAGACTGGATGATAAACCTCCATTTTTGGCACCGTTGCGATCGTTTCTCGTTGGTCGGATTGTCCCCGAAGGAAAAGAGCAGGGTAACCGTTATCTGTCCAGATTATGCGGTCCTTTTAGCTGTCCATCATTTCTGGACTATAGGTATTTTAGCATGATAATAGAAGTAACGAACTAAGTTCAGTTTGTACTTCAAAGGTACAAAGCCAAATGTTGCAGTATTGGTCTATCCAAGCATCTTTCTAAAGATGCTCCCTTGAAGGAAGTCATCCTACCGACTTTTTAGCAAAGTGTGAAGGAAAGCCTGATTTTCTTCTTTTTCATATTTATTCTTAAAACTCAATGAGTAGTGCGGGTCATTGAACTGACCTAACAGAATGGCAGCATTTCCGTGTACCTTCAGTTAGGACCGAGTGACGCGATAATTAGACGGCGAGGTCCTCTTTTAAGCTTGGCATGAAAATAGTCGGCAAGTTGTGTTCCTAAGGGCGATCCCCTTTCAACTCCACTCTCATAATACAAGTAACTGAAAAATGTCCGCTGAAGTGCCCGGTAGAACGTCCTGAGTAGCCACCTTTTATTTTTCTAGGCATCCCAGTCAGACACATTTGGAACGAGTTTCGGTCGCTAATAAAGTTGTTTCTAGTATGTCCTTAAATTTTGCCAATAATGCATGGTGATTCGAGGGCATAAATAACGGAAATTGATACCCACAGTCATAATAACGCATTACGGAAGACGTAACGCTAGACCGAAAGTTCTTTTTGTGTGACCAACATTCGTTCCAGATGTGTCTCACTGCTATAGCAGGGCGTGCAAACAATGGTCACTAAGCGGTAGGCTATCGGACCTTCATGCTTACTAAAAGTACGATGTATTAAAAAGTGGTGGTCTATACTGGATACCTACAGCTAAATTCGTTGGAGTTAACGATGCTTTATATTATTAAAAGTTATACTGAGACAGATTGCGCCATTTTTTCTCTTCAACTTTCCCCTGCAAGTAATTGAAACACGTCCAAGTGGGACGGCCGGTCGTCCATCAGTTCCGACAGGGCCTGTGTGATGATAGCAGCATCATACAAAATCTTAGTGCGCTAACGAAGTGGTTGAAGGGGACTCAGTGTTTCAAGTTTCTTAAAAGAAGACTCCCAGCTGACGTTGTGAGGTCATTGGATCGATTGTTGTCGTTGCGCTGCAAGATCACGGTGGAAAGCATACGGGTTAATTTTTATCCTGAATGTATCCAATCAGGTCAATTTTCATCGCGATTCCTTGAGAACCAGTAGAAAAATAAACTGCCGGCTAACAGTGGGAATCTAGCTGGGATTGCGTCCGCATATATGGATGCTTACATTGAACAAGAACACAAGTTCCTGGCGACACCAAAGTGATTCGCGGTTGTTTTGAATGGTTTGTCACTGGCTTGCCGTTTCAAACTTGAGGCATATTTTGCCGAAACTCTCCAGCGTACTAGGACCAGGACACTACGCAGTCTTCAAGGTACCCTTGTGAGAGCAGCCAAGATTCCTTTCCCTACCGAGGACCAGAAGCATGTGTGCAATCTGTCAACAGCTAGGCTCACGCGAGAACAGTTGGAAGTTCTTTCGCTGAGCAGTAGTACCGAACACCGCCGAAGAAGATGGAGAGGCTCCACACATAGATTAATTTTGTATATCTGTGTGATCAACTCGGCGATTTTTCGCCGAAATCAATGGATGATGCAAGATGGTTTCGGGGGAAGTTAATGAATATCTCGAACTACTTCCTGAACGCGCCTATTAGTCAGAGATGTTGCTTGAAGTCGGAACCCTAGGTGGCAATTAAGGAGTTGCAGAAAATGAAGGGCATAATTTTCGTGCAGCCGGATAAAAGCACGGGAGTAGCAATAATGGACAGAGCTGATTATATCGCAAAAATGGATTCCATTATCGGAGATGGACGCAAGTTCCGTATTGACAAGACGCTGGACAACGATATCTTGGTAGAGAAACAAATTATAAGGCAATTACAAATTCCCTTGCTTCATGGTTATATCTCCCAGTCACAATATTGACAGCTAAAACCGACAGGGACGGAAACACCAAGGATGAGAGGTGCGCCAAAGCTGCACAAGGCTGGAACTCCACTACGTCCAATAATGTGCATGAATAACTCGCCTTACCACAAAGTAGCCCGGTGGTTGGCAGATCTTTTAGAACCCATAGGTAAACTCCTGAGCATGCACTGTTTGATAGACTCTTTAGAATTAATGAATATACTGGAACAAACAACGCTCGATGCGGAGCTCATGTATTCTATGGGCCTGGAATCGCTTTCCACGAATATGCCCCTATGTGAAACGGTCGACGACCTATACCAATTTCTTTTGATTCGGAACCTCTCTGTGGGCCTTTTCTCTGGAGTACCTGAGAGAATTGATATTGTTGTGCACTGAGAATGTTCGATTTGAGTTTGAAGGGACGGCTTACGAACAGATAGACGGTGTCGTTACGGGTAGCCCTTTGGGACCAATTCTGGTAGATATCTTCTTGGGTGTGATTGAAAGAAAACTTGCTGCCTGCATAGGAGAAGCAATACTTTACAAGCGCTATGTAGACGATATGCTCGTCTTCACAAATGGTGAACATTTGAACCGTCTTTCTGCCCTCCTGAACTCAATTCACCCTAACCTTTCTGTATCACAGGAGATGGAACAAGAGGACAGACTGCCGTTTCTGGACGTGCTCATAAAGAGAAGGACCGATGGCACACTGCAGCCCACTGTATACAGAAAAGCAACCTGGTGGGAGACAATACCAACATTTTCCAGCTTCTCCACAGTTGCGTACAAGCGCGGCCACGGAAAATCTTCTACAGGGTCAGGCGAATTTGCAGTCGGGACTTGCTTAAGGTTGGAGAAGAGTTTTTATACCGGACTCTGCTATCCAATGGGTATTCGGAGAAATGCATTCAGACCCAAGGCAGACCTCCCAATGAGAAGCTGCCAGTACAAACAGCGAATAAGAAGGATGTTTATTTGTCCTTACCCTTCAATGGAGACCGTGTGGCAAATGATGTTGCGCACAAGGTCAGGTCCGCTCTAATGAGCGCTTACTCTGCCGCCCAACTACAACTTATCCACACGACACGAAGCATTCCTCTCCACAGCTGTCCTATTAGCTCGCCAATCTCTTCGGCCTCTAACATCATCTATCAGTTCAGTTGCAGTTGTGGTGACACTTACATCGATAAGACTGGTCGCCGGCTGGCTCAAAGAGTGGCGGAACACTTCCCATCGGGGCTAAGGTAGTTGCTGTCTCATCAAAGAATGAACCGGAACCCTGCCACGTCTATCACTAAACACCTAATGATGACTCTTCACCAGGTGGACCCAATCGAGTCATTCAAAGTGCTATTGCGCAAACAG